GGCTGCACAGAAGATGTTGGAGTCAGCCTCCCTACCATCACAGACATTTACACCTCCAGATGCAGGAAGAGGGCCACCTGCATCATGAAGGACCCCACTCACCCAGCACACACACTTTTTGCCCTGCTCCCCTCAGGAAGGAGGTTGAGGAGCATTAAATGTAGAACCAGTAGACTGAGGAACAGCTTCTACCCTGAAGCTGTTAGACTAATAATAATAATAATAATGTGTTATGTTCCCATACAATGGTGAAATTGGCTCTCTGCATTTAACTCATCCACCTCCAGGTGGTGCAGTGGGCAGCTAATGAAAGCACCCGAGGAGCAATTGGGAATAGGGCGTGCTGCTCAGAGACATGAATCCTTAATCAAGATTATTACTGGAAAAAAATAATCACTGTAATGCCCCTTGATTGTTGATATGTGCTGCTGATCTCATGCTGCTGATTTATTTCATGCTGCTGCGTTCATTCATACTCACACAGACTCATGTTCGTGCTGCTGTTCGGCGTATTGTTTTTGTACTACTGGTGCTTAGTGTATTCTTAGTTTAGCGTATTTCTAAGTTCATATCTTAGATCTTATTACTGTTTTTTTTTTTTGTTTATTTTTACAATTTATACTTTTGTTGGCTGTGACAGGGACCCTGTGCACACAGTTTCCTTCCATCACATGTACCACATATGATGAGAATGACAATCAAGAACCTTGACCTGTACGAGCCCAGCGGTTTGATACCTGCATGTCTAAAATAGCTGAAAGAATGTGGAAGTAGCTGCTGCTGATGATGGACACTTGGCTGAAAGCTGAAGAACTGTAAAGTGGGACGGACCATCCGATCCGCTGCCCCCCGGTCTAGCGTGCGGTGCACCTCGAACCCTTCACGTAACAGCAGACCGTGCTAACTCAATTCTCCGAAGGAGCGTCTCCATCTCTCTCACTTAGTGTCGCTGCCTTCAGCATCAGACAATGCCTCATCTCTGCCATCGGGAGGAACCTGATCTTTATTTACACCGGTCCGGGTGTGTCCCCCGAGGAAGCGTCACACGGTTCCACTCATACGTCCACGTCCTGGTCTCCGGTTTATTGTCAGGATCAGATTTCCGCCTCTCGAGGCTCCAGCGTTCAGGTTCGTCTCGGTCGTTCTGTGAAATCTTCGCTCCTCATCCACGGTGATGCGATTGAGCGTCTCTGGGGCTCGGTCTCATTTCTCCACAGCGCCGCTGTTTGAACGCTGTGTGGAATAATGCGCGGAACAAACTGGATCAGTGTCTCTCACAGGTTTACGACGTGGAGAGGATCTTCTCTCTGCTACGACCACTTAGATGGAAACATGCCCAGAAATGTCAAGCGTTAAATAAAACCTGTTTTCACGTCTCTGAGCGGTCCAGAAATGATGTTTGTATGAAACCTCGATGGACGGCGTTGGTTTATTTCATACAGTGAAGACGTGATTTAATCCCCATCTGTTTCTGTTTGTGTCCACAACGCTGTGGATGCTCCTTCCAGCACGTTTGAAAATATATTCAGCCTCATATTAAACCAGGGATGTCCAAACATTTTCATTTCTGCGTCAAAACTATGAAGATAAAAGCACTCGTGGGCCACAAAAATGTGAATTTAACTCTCAGCAGCGTGAAGAATATTTTGGAGAAAGGACAAAAGTTGACTAATTTTGGTGGAGACAGAGTTTTAAATTGTTGTAGATCCAAAACATTAAACGCCTCATAAACACCAAGCTTATATTTTTATTAAAAATGATTTAATTAATTTGAGTTGTTGGGTTTAAGTTTGTCGTTTTCTTGTGCTTGGAAAGTCTGTTCTCAGCAACAAAAGTGTAATTTGAGTAAGTGTCCTTTTAAAAGGGGGTCAATCAGCCGTTTGGACCAAAAGGCTGATTAAAGTTCTGAAAAATCGTCCAGCTGTCAGTCGCTCAAACAGATTCATTGATGGTTTGAAGGGACACTGATTAAGATGATCGACTGGTTTTCAATTCAATACAATTCAATTCAAAAATACTTTATTAATCCCAGAGGGAAATTAAATGTTGTCGTAGCTCACCATCCTGGTTTCATTCAAGAGTTGTTAGATGCTGATAGCTGTGGGCAGGATGGATCTCCTGCAGCAAATCCGAAGAATCTGGCCACAGATACCGATCTGTATACCCGGATCCAGCTTGCTGTCAGATCCGGCAGCCTCTCGGTCCTCCTGGGCAGAATTCCTCCCTGAGCGATGGTCACTCCTCGTCGACATGGACAGACAGCTGAAGGTGCCAGAGGATGATCCCAGTCCTCCCATTGTCACGAGCCGAGTTTCCCACCAGGATCTCGGCGGTCAGGTACTCGAGCACCGCCACCAGGTTGACGGGAATTCGTCCACGGCGCCTCCTTTTCAACTCATTTGGGATATGAGGCTGTAGTTGAAGTGTTTGAGCTTTTGAGATGTTAATCAGCTGCTCCTGGTTGTAAAAAGAAAAAACCTTGTCGCCATGGTTACGCATCATAACAAATGCCCAAAAGTAAAAATCCTTCCAGCTGCACAGCATCCGATACCAGAGGACGCAATCATCCAAAAAAAGTGATTTACCTCCAGAAAAAAAAGAGGAATTAAAGTTTTCAAAAACATTGACTCTGAATGAAAGTAACAGCTGCTCCAACATGCAGCCACCAAGAGCGGAGCAATTCTAGACCATCTACATGCACTCACTGTGGGAGTATACGCAGATGATACCACTTTGTGTTAATTAAAAAAATGTCCAGTTTGCCTGTTTTGATTATTATATCAACTGAAATTTGTTTTATGATTATCTAAGTCGCCTTTTTGATTGCACTCTGTAAAGCAGGAGTGTCAAACTCACGTACAAAGGGGGCCAAAATTAAAACTTTTTTCAAACTAAGGGCTAATTTCAGAAACTAAATTAATTCAAATCAGATACCCAACTTCTTTTCTTGGTCACAGGTTCCTCAAGAGTTTGACTGGTCTCATTTCATGTTCTCAAGTGCTTTCGACATCATAATCAAAGATTACGGGAAAAATTCAAAAGATATAATTATTTTACGTTTCACATATAATGTTGAGGGCCATATAAGATGTTAACGAGGGCCACATTTGGCCCCCGGGCCTTGAGTTTGACACATATGCTGTAAAGGTTTGTGGTGCTTTGTACCATGAAGTGAAAATAAAAAGATTCATTATTAACAAAGGTTTTCATTTTGTTGAATATTGCTCATTTTGAGAAGTTTTTTTTTCTGTTTTGCTGTTAAACCTAAATATTATATTTAAAAAAAGCATTATTAATGAATTTGCAGAAAGTCTGCATCGACCTTTTAAGCCTGCTGTCCAAAATGATGATATTCTTAAACTGCAGTTGTGGGCCGCACAAAATCACTCCAAGGGCCGCAAATGGCCCTCGGGCCACACATTGGACACCCCTGTATTATAAGTTGTTGTTGCGCTGCTGAATAGTAAAAGGCGGGCGATAATGTTTCCCTCTCACCACGAACCACTGGATGTTCCCTTGGTTCTAACATCTATAATGAAAAGACGTCCTGAAGTGGATCTTGGGCTCACTTTGGTTCTGAATGACTCGGATTAGACGTCTTTACGTCTGGATTATCGTTCCTCCGTTGCTCCTTGCCTCTTTAACCGTTTCTCTC